GCGGCATTACCATTGAAATGCGGTTTAGCATGCTACATTCAGTTAAGTGTTTGGATGGGTATCTCATACCCAAGTGTGAGATTCCAGGGTTAAGTTTTAGGGAAGGTGAGCCCAATTTGAGATTTAAAAGTTTAAAACATACAATTTACGTTTTGTTTTTATAAATAGATGGAAGATAATCAGATTTTTAACAGTACCTAAGACATTCAGAGTTATAAATTCTTAATGATCTGTTTTACATGGCAAATAAAATTTATTTTCGAAATGAATGCATTTGCTGGTGTTATAATTAAATTAATAAATGTCAGTTTACTCTCAAAGTAAATATTTCTGGTAAATAAAATCTATAAATCCATGTTTTACTTACATAGTCAGAGCACAAATTAATATCGAAAAACATTTTAGTATAAATAAAACTATTCAATACTGAACTATTTATTTCATAAACATATATAGGTAAAACTAAACAATATACAATACTAGGAAACTTTAGAAACATTTGCTACCCAACAATTTTATTTAATTTTCTAATTTTTGACCTAGTTCAGTCCAACACGGATAAGTTTTTTCGATTCAAATTTTCAGCTTCCTTGGATTTTAAATTTCTATAATTTATTCTTATTATTGTTCTAAGTTTACAACAGTTTTTAATAATCGCATATGGCAATATTTTTCTTTTTTTTTAATTCTTTTTTAAATGTTTCCAACAACTCCAATATTTTTCCTAAAGGTATCACTATATTTTTCATAATATTTATTTTTATGAACCACTCATCTGTAGGCTTGATAAGACCTCCATAAGAGAGTTGCTGCACCCATGATGGTAAACTATAGCTATGTTCACTAACTTTGTATGTGAAATTACCTAAATCAGGCAAACTATCTTTAAATTTTTTTGCTAAATACCCAGTGATGTATTCTAAGGCATCTTCTATAGTTTCCTGAAAATCATTGACAACACAATATGAGGTGGCAGACTGATTAGAAGATGATTCTTGGGAAGAGAAAGATCCACACTTTGTTCAACTGTGTTAACAACAGCATTGGCAGCAAATTTTCGGCTAACTGTTCACTCCCAGGTTTATGTCTCTTAAGTGCTGTTGCAACAGTATTGTACAAAAGTTGAGCAGCGATTAGAACATTCTGTCTCTGAGATTTTTCACATTCAATGTGTTTTTTATTAATTTTCCAACACTGATTAACCTCTTGGTCAGTAAAAGCAATTAAAGATTCTAAAGGCTTTTTGATAATAACAGTACCATCCTCTAATTGAAAACCAACATCTAGTAGCCAAATTCGTAAGAGTTTTAATAAATGTGGGGCATCCGCAAACATATATACATTTTGATCAGTCTCAGGATGTTTAAAAAATGTTTTATCTACACTAACTCCAAGTTCTTTCCACAAACCAATATTTGAAGCACCACAATCACTAACACAAGCAACAAAGTTATGAAATGTATGAAGTTCCTTAATTATTTCTATTAATATTCCAGCTGTCATTTTTTGGTCAAAATTGATATAAATTGGTTGTTTCCAAGAAGCAAAAAGACCTCTAATCATAACTACCTGCATTTGCTTGTGTGGACCCAAAATCACAATACAATACTCTGCCCAAAATTCTATCTTAAGTGGCGTCATACTCTTCAATAGATTTTATTTTCACTTCATCAAATTGCAGCACAACAGTCTTTTCCATAGTCGTAAAATTTTCCCCAGAAAACTTTTCTTACTGTAATAACTCGAAGTAAAAGCTCTGGATATTCCTTCTGTATTCCAACGAACTTTCTTCTTTGTTTCAGAATGAAGTTTTTGGTTTGTGGTTAACACTTTATTTAACAAATTTTCAACAAAAATTTAAGATTTTTTTGATTTTTTCTGAACATTCATATTTTTTGCTTTAAAATACCTCAACTGACTTGTTAAACTTTTTATTTTCATTTGACTCTTTTTCTTCAAATCGGAATGATCAGCTACTAATTTTTCATACTTGTTTAATAATTCTTTGTATTTTGCTTCAAAATCTACTTCAGACTTTAAATTTATATTGTCACCAGCTTGTTCAAAAATTACTTCAGATTCAGTAATAGTCTGTTCATCTTGATTAAATGCAATATTCAAAATATTTGAATCAACCTTTGTAATTTCTGCTAAAAGCTGCTTTCTGTTTCTAACATCTAATCTACATTCAAGAGTAGAGACAGAAGGTGTGTCAAAGGTATGTTTATATAAACAAAGTGTTGGAACTGCAAATTTCTTCAAAAGGCGTTTAGTAGGTAAACCTAAAATAAGTTATGTTAAAAAAATTTTATAGGCATTTTATTGCTTAATCATTTTACCTAATAATTCATTTTGTAGATCTCTTTTATAGTCATTGTTTGTAAAATGAACAGAGCATATTCTACTAGAATCAGGATTAAAATTATCAGATCTTCTGCATCGGTTAACCCATTCAGCCCTTATAGTTTTCGACACTAAATCCTTTCCTTTTGGAAAACTATGAAAAATAACAGGCATATTCTTGGTTTTCACACTCTTAAAATTATTGTCACAACCATATATGGCACATCTATTACCACCCATTTTGTTTATACAAGTAAATTGATATATAGTAAACAATAATTAGTCTTATAAGGCCGTTAAATCGCTAATACAACAAAAAAAAATTGTCAGCAGACACTATTCAATATTCAACTATTCTATATAAAACAATAAGAAATGTCAACCACCACGAATCCCCACGTCTACGTCACACTCAACAAAACGCATTTCTTAAGGTCACTTTACATTTACGAGTACTCCGAGTAGCTCGGATTTGAGTTAACCGCTTTACATTTACGAGTACTCGGATCCGAGTTGCTCTACTCGGAGTGCAACTCGGAAGTATAAACGTCTACTCGGAGCCTCTTGTCACTCGAATCCATCGAGCAAAAAGATATCTTTTTTATCTTTTGGACAAAAGATTATCTTTTTGCTCGATGCTCGAATCCGAGCTCGGATTGAAGTTGAACGCAAACCGAGTAGCAGTACGAGGTACCTGTACGAGTGAGCGTCAAAGTAGTGAAAATTAAAAATGGCGGAACTACGATTTTCTGCAGATCAAATGGATTAATTTATCGATCTTTATCGTTCTTTTGAATGTTTATGGAATGTGGAACTAAAGGAGTATCGGGACATTATCAAAGGAAATAATGCTTTAAATTAGATTAAATTAGGTAATCATTAACTTTAACAAATCTCTTGTAAATGTTGTTTCACCCAAATGCTTTTCTTTGTCTTAATTTTTTGTTGTTATTTTTCTCCTTTAAAATGTTTAATAACACTAATGAAACAGCAGCTCGTTTCTTTCTTAATGGCGCCATTTTTAAATTCTCTTTAAAACTACTCTGATCGCTCGGATTTAATGTAAACGATCGCAGTTCCATTCGTAACTCAAATCCGAGCTACTCGGATCCGAGTACTCGTAAATGTAAAGCGGACTTTAAACAATAAACAGATCCGAATCATTTTTATATCATAAAATATTGCGGTCATATTTGGGTTTTGCTCGTTTGAAACGAACGTGAATTAGTGTTCGGACGTCGGTTGTCATTACGAGGGTATTTAGAAGAGCAAAATATTATTTATTTTACTGATAATTATAAGGTGTAAAATATTAATTAAAAACTATACTTATAATATATATTATCGGCAAAAAATATGTATATATTTGTTGGCTTCCAAGTGATTATTTTGGTTATTATATATTCTTTTGTATTTCTTGTATTTTTGGTCACAATGGTATTTGTTCAGAGCAAGTAACATTTATGGCATTCCCCGAAATATTTTATGGCACGGCGTATTATTCGTTGCATAATAATAATAATTCAGTAGAAGACCTACAAAATCTTTTGTACTTTTTACATTAAAGAGACCTTAGAAAGGTATGCTTAAACTAGCATGCTTAAAGAAACGTTTAGTTATTGATATATAAATTAGCTTAAAAAAAATTAAATTTGAATTTTAAGTTTAATTAGGTAAAATTTAATAGATCAAAGTAAATTTTTGGTTGTCATAACATTTACTTGTAACATTGAATAACAACTACATAATAACACAATGCTCTTACACTCGATTATCCACCCACACCATACCCACACCTACCGCTAAAATTATAGATTTGGTTTGCATAATGGTGCCACAGCACACTTCCACCGCGTAGAAACGAGATTAGCAGCGCCACTAAACGAATGGACGTATGGGCGCTAAATCCGAACGTGATTTGACATTGCCTATCCCTGTTACCAATCTAGGTGTAATTTTATCTATGGTAGTATTTTAAATACATAAAACAAATTTTTAAGAAATAAAAATACTCCAAAGTGTCCTTAGAAAATAAAATATAAAATTCCGACAAAACATTTTTTTTTAGAAACTATTATGAACTAATTAGAACTCTTATAAAGTGCTTTAAAAAGTCAGTTTTGGAACTCTGAAAAAATGTATAGAAGTTTATAAGAATTTATAAGATTTTGGTCGGCGCAGTGATGTGCAAAAACGTAGGTAAGCATACCTGACCTGATCCACAAAAATACTTGGATCAACCACCTCTACATGCGTGACGTCTGCTTTGTTTACGTCCAGTGTTTTCATCAAGTTGAGTGTTTTGCATTTTTTAACCTTACTTTGCAATGTATTGGAATTTAAAAGTAAATGTGTTTTTGTTTTGTTTCGATTTTTTAAAAATTATTTTAGCAAGAGTTTGTTCAGATCATTTTAAATATGAATTAATTGGATTAATGTATAATATATATTTTATTTAATTTAACTACGATATTTCATATCAATTTTGTACATATTTGAATTGCCACCTTCAAAATGGCGGATTTTGGTCGTAAACGCGATTGGCTGTTCAAAATAGATGCGCGTGAGCATACCGCATACCATGTTATCAAAATGTTATGTTTCCTCATGGACGTATTGTTTCATTATATCTTTTGCCAAAACAAACTGTAATTTGTTAATTTGTACATAAAATCAAGTTGACTACTATGGAAATAAAACAGGAAGCTAGTGAGAAGACTTCTAAAATAGAAATAGATAATGAGACCTGTGATGTCATTTTGAATGCTTTCAAAATTGATATTAAGGAAGAACCCAAAAAAGAAAGTATCCACCACACATTTGATTATTTAGACTTTAATGAATTCCCGGTACACAAAAACATAGTACAAGATGATTATAAATTTACATTATTTGAGGAAAAGCAAACAAATGAAAAAAGTAAGTAAATAACACAACATGAAAACAAATTAATTGTATGTTAAAAATGTTTATTATTAACTAAGGTTAGATAATACCAAAGAATATAGACCCATATTCTTTGATAATACATAAAAATGTAAAAATACTTGTTGATTTTCCTTTGTAGATACATATACAAGTACAAGACATCCCTTGTCAACTAAAGTAGATGATACCTTTTTTTTAATAATGTTTCAGAGTTATCAAAATATAGAATTGAGGATAATGAAAATGTAATGTAATTATTACTAACATGTATATGGCTCATAAATACTTATTTTCTGATAAGATAAACCATCCTATAGAATTTCCAAGTTTCTATTTATGTGTTCAATGTCTAGTGGGACCATTTGCTACATTTTTTTTTGAAAACTTCATCTACACTATCCTTCTATCTAAATTTTAGCATACCCTTACATCATTTTCTCCCAGAGTCTAGTATAAGTTGTCAATGTGTCTATAGACCCTCCTGTTCTTCATATTATCATTAGCTGTAGGAGAGATCATTGATCTCTTAAATAATAAATGTATTTATGTATATATTTCTTCTAGAATAATATATTTGTCAGTTTAAGGTTGTTAAAAGTTGCAAATTATCAAATTCTTTCCCATCTCATTTGCCTAAGGATTCTGGCTAAGGTTTCAACTACTCCTGGTATTCAATCCAATCCTCCTGGTATTACTAGATTTCTTCATTTTATGAGGATGATATCTGAATATATAAGTGATAACACCTTGACCTCAATTTTCTAAAATTTAATATTATTTTTGTGCAGCAGGCAGTAATAACCTTTTTACTTTCTATTGGCCTAGAGACTATTCCCATTATTTTCTTAAAAATTAACAGTAAATTGTTTACAGACATTGAATAATAAAAGAAAGTAGAATATTTTAAAGTATGCTGCCTTGCACAATACATGGTTGTGAAAAAGTTTGGCAACATTTTGCTCTCTTTGAAAGGAATAAAGGTGAATATATTTGTGGATTATATTAGATTATGTTCTGCATTTCTTAAACATATCATACAAGTTTTTATGACAGCACTGTTTCCTGTATTGCTGGCATCTTGTATTTTTTTAAATATATTTCATCTAATTTACTTACCGTTGCATGTCATTATCATTGACAGAGATCGAAATTGACATAGTTACCAAAGTATAAAAAAATCCTGAATCCATTTTAAATCAAATAGGTCACATAATTATTGCAAAAGTGAAATACAACAAAACTAATTAATATTACACACACTAATTTTGTTCTAAAAATAACAGATTTTATTAAGTAAATGGGTAAAAATATAAACCAATAAAATTGGTATTCACTTTAAAATTCAAAATAATGAACTACAAAAAGTGTCAACACCGCAACTGTCAAATAAGCCTTACCAATTTATGCCAAAATATCACCTTCATTCAATTACAGTTACAGTGTTCCGATCAAATGTTGTTCATAAAAAAGTTAACATTAATAGAAATCTTTAAATATTATTTCTACACGTATATAATAAAATATATCTAGTGGCTGTAATGCCAGTGTACTCGGCAAAGTGATTCTAAAAAAGAACACACCTACCGCCTAAATATTTCGTGTTGGTATCATGTGACGTCACGAGCTATGACGCAGATGAAGTGCAATGGTAAGTAAATTAGATGAAGTATATGTAGTTGTTAAAAAGTCTGTCAACAAGATTATCTGTAATTAATAGCCTGGTAGTTTTTTAACATAATTGAAAAACAGTAGTAGACATGTAGGTTGCCAACTATCATTAAGCTCTAAGGAATAAGATCGAATCGATGAATAAATTTAAAAAGTGTAATTTGGGCTGATTTTACTTTACTTATTATATTCCTTTGTTTCTGCAATCACTTTTCTATTCCAGTAAAATGTTTATAGTTGGTTTGTATTTTAGGTTGTCCACAGGAGGAGAACAGAATGAAAATTATGAAAACTTTACTTTCATCTCATACAGGAAAATATACAGGTCAAAACTCAGAAGGAAAAATATTAAATGAAAATATTAAACACATGAAAATCCTCACTGGAGAAAAATCTTACAAGTTTGAAATGACTACAAGTAATTTGAAAAAACATTTGGGAACACACACAGCAGAGCAACTTCATAAGTGTAAAACTTGTTTAAAGCAGTTTACTACTGCAAGTGGTTTGAAAATGCACTTGAAAATACATACTGGAGAAACATGTTACACATGTGAAACTTGTTTCAAGTCATTTATTACTACAGGTCATTTGAAAAGACATTTGAAAACTCACACTGGAGAAAAACTTAACAAGTGTGAAATTTGTTTTAAACAGTTTACTACTACAAGTAATTTGAAAAGTCATTTGAGAACTCATACTGGAGAAAAACTTCACAAATGTGAAATTTGTTTTAAACAGTTTAGTGAAGCAGGTAATTTGAAAACACATTTGAAAGCTCACACTGGAGAAAAACTTAACAAGTGTGAAATTTGTTTTAAACAGTTTACTACTACAAGTAATTTGAAAAGTCATTTGAGAACTCACACTGGAGAAAAACTTCACAAATGTGAAATTTGTTTTAAACAGTTTAGTGAAGCAGGTAATTTGAAAAAAACATTTGCGAACTCACACTGGAGAAAAACCTTACAAGTGTGAAATTTGTTTTAATCAGTTTACTACTAGAGCTGATTTGAAAAGACATTTAAGGTGAAAAACTTCACAACTGTGAAATTTGTTTTAAAAAGTTTAGTGTAGCTTACCGTTTGAAAACACATTTGAGAGTGCACACTGGAGAAAAACCATACAAGTGTGAAATTTGTTTTAAGCAGTTTACTACTATAAGTGATTTGAAAAGACATTTGAGAACACACACTGGAGAAAAACTTCACAAGTGTACAATCTGTTTTAAACAGTTTAGTGAAACAGGTAATTTGAAAAACCATTTAAAAGTGCACACTGGAGAAAAACCTTACAAGTGTGAACTTTGTTTTAAGCAGTTTACTACTAAATATAATTTGAAAATTCATTTGAGAACACACACTGGAGAAAAACTTCACAAGTGTGAAATTTGTTTTAAACAGTTTAGTGAAGCAGGTAATTTGAAAACACATTTTAGAGTGCACACTGGAGAAAACCCATACAAGTGTGAAATTTGTTTTACCTATTTTACTATTAGAGATGATTTGAAAAGACATTTAAGAACACACACTGGTGAAAATCTTCACAACTGTGAAATTTGTTTTAAAAAGTTTAGTGTAGCAGACCATTTGAAAACACATTTGAGAGTGCACACTGGAGAAAAACCATACAAGTGTGAAATTTGTTTCAACCAGTTTACAACTAGAAGTTATTTGAAAAGACACTTGAGAACACACACTGGAAAAAAAAGTTCACAAGTGTGAAATTTGTTTTAAGCAGTTTAGTGAAGCAGGTAGTTTGAAAAGACATTTGAGACTACACACTGGAGAAAAACCTTACAAGTGTGAAATTTGTTTTAACCAGTTTATAACTACATGTCATTTGAAAAGACATGTGAGAACACACACTGAAGAAAAACTTTACAAGTGTGACAAGAGAAAAGCCGTACAAGTGTGAAATTTGTTTAAAGCAGTTGACTACTACAAGTTTGAAAAGACCTTTGAGAACACACACTGGAGAAAAACTTTACAAGTGTGAAAGGAGATTACACACATCTTATGGAACATGTAATATCACTTAAATGCAATAAAATTTATATGAATAGATTTGTCTCGAAATTACATCTCGACATTTTTCAATTTATATAAATTAAATTATTAAATCACAATTTACATAAAGTGACGTTACTTATATTTAAAATTTCCAGAACGTCAACTTTAGAGTTCAAAGCTCGATCTTTCATAGGCGTCAACATGGTATAATAATCAGAAAAATGTAATCAATATGGATTAAATATCCAAAAACAATTGTTATTAATAATAATATAAATTTTATGAAATAACTCTTTTAAGTCCAATATTCCACAAAATATCAATTTTAACACGTTGAACGCCGTAATGTATATAATCTAAATTATTTTCGGGCCGAGGATATTTTTAATCTGGACATATTTATATACATATTTATATGTCATGAATATTAAATACATAAACATGTTACATCAATATTTTTTTCCAAATCGTACTTTGAACCGCGAAGCAAGTATGCACCACGCAGCCACCAGTACCAAATCTCTCTTAGAGGCCGCGCGATTCACGCTGACAGGAATCAAAATGTCGGTCGTAGTCGCTTTATATTACAAGCATTCAGTCAATTTCGTGTGGTTGTCTAAATAAGTGCAATAAATTGTGCATCTAAAATAGGGAAATACGAAAAAAAAAAAAACAAATTCCACTTGAAAAAATGATGAACGAAATTTTGTCAGTTGAAGAAACATTCGGATATTCGTTGGAAAGTTATGTAAATAGTGATAGTAATACCTCTTCTTCTGAACATTGCTCGCCTGTAAGGAAGAAAAAAAGTACTTCGTACAAAAAAAAAGACATTTGTTTGGCTTCGAAAGTAGCTGACCAACAGCGGTTGGTAAATGAAAGCAGCAGTCAAGTCGACGAGTTAGGTCCAAGTACAAGTCATTCTTCTCACGTTGATGAAATCATTGAGGGTGTTATAAAGAAATTACAGTGGAGCAGCGATTCTTCGTCAGACGAGATACGAGTTTTAGCAATTTACAGTGAAGTGCAATCACAGGTAACAATTTGAAAACATTTCCGCTTCTTGTTAATAATTTAAAAATAAACTCTGATATTGCGGAAAACATGCGAGAGAAAAAACCAATAGATTTCTTTTAACTATTTGTGGATGACAGTCTTCTTACTATGATGGTCAACGAGACAAATAGATGTGCCATCCAAAAATCAAGAAAGCTCTTTTACCTAATGCTCGAATTTTACCTAATGCTCGAATAAGAAATTGGAAAGATACGAATATAGATACGATGAAATAAAAATATTTTTGGGATTACAAATTTGGATTGGGCTTGTTCAAATGCCAAAACTATCTTCTTATTGGTCTTCTAATGTGCTATACTTCAATGAAATAAAACAAGTCATGCCAACAAACAGATTTGAACTTCTGAATAACTGGCATTTTACTGATAACGAAAATTCACATATTTCCACAAGACTGTACAAGATAAAACCGCTCATAGATCACATCCGACAAAAATTTCAAAACTCTATAACGCCGTCTGGTAACATTTGTATAGACGAAACTTTAGTTAC